TGAAAGTAAAAAGGAGTAAAGTGTGCTTCCCAAAACAGCCTTTATTCTTTTAACTTTTGGAAGAAAACCATGAACCCTCAGGCTATCACAGCACCTTCAGTTCACAACTAATCAACACTGTTAGTAGCTGGGTGTATGATTTTGAATAATACTGTACCTTTTATCTTGGTCTTCTTGATTATCACTCACTTTGTTAACAGACAACAGCCTTTTATCTCTGGGAACCTGAGAACAACACCAGGCATGGGGTCAGGTAAATGCAACTGTCAGGCATTTGCAGCTTCAGACTGCTCTACTGCAACAACTAAAAAAATGTAACAACTAGTGTTGTGTAGGTCACAGGTGCCAGGAGCTGTTTTTCTTTGGGAGACTGATTGTGAACAGAAAGAAAACTTTTAAAGAGAAAAAATGCACGTATTGTTTTCTTTTCTAGTTCTTGGGCACACCAGTCTGGAGCAAAATGCTGTGCTATACTGTCCTTTGGAATATCAAGCAAGGCTAAGCTATCTCAAAATCAAAGCTCATATCCCAAAAATCACGCAGACACTTTTCACTGAATAATACAAGATGAGAAGATAGGATGCTCTGATGAGCTCTGCATGGGGACCATTTTAGCTCAGATGAGAAAGACTTTTCAATTAAACCATAAGCACCAGCTAAGTCCTCCTGTTACAGACCAGCCTGGAGGGTGTAGCACTCTTATCTAGGGAAAGTTTGTGGATCTTTCCCTTTCCTAGTATGGGGACAAATCAGGGCATGCTGGCATGCCATCAGAAACACTGACTTCTGCTCTCTTGAGCGCATCAACAGGTATGAGAAGTAAAAATCCAGTCAAATCTGGCCGCTTGACAGACTCAGAATTGACACCAAGTGACTTCGAAGATTTGTATTCCCACATACAGGTTTCCTGACACCAGCATAGATATGAAATCACCAAGGGCAAAGTTGCTGCCATGACCATATTTTTGTTTTCTTGCTGAACCAGAAAATTGGCAGTTAAAACTTTTGTGTTTTGAACAAGAAGGCATATCCACTCCATCACAGCAGTTAACTCAAGTTTAAAGAGCAAGAATAGACCTAAAAATCGGCTAAAGCCATGCCTTTTATCTTTACACATTTTAAAGAAAAGAAGTATCTGGAAAATATCTGAATTTAGAGGAAAAAAAGTCTTAAGAGTGAACTACAGGAGCCAACAGTAACATTAACTATACCTGCAAGACAGCAGCAGAGTCAAAGAGTGCCAGCCACAGCCAGTCCTTCTCTTAGGGACATTCCCTCTACCTATTAAGCATACTGCTGATTAACAATCCTCTTTCATATATTTTTGAACTGGGATAAAAGCCACAGTTTGCACATGTTGATTCCCCTTCTAAGATCATATATTTATCCCTGAAGGAGGGTCTATGTTTATGTAAATATCACTATAAGAAATAGGAGCCGTTCAAAAAACAAACAGTTAAGTTCAAATGATTCCTATTGACTGGAAAAAATACTTCAAAAATATTATCCAGCATGTTACAACAAATGAGTCAGATGATAAATAAGGGCAATTCAAGAGTCTGGTGCACTGGAAGTCCTCCTTTACGCTTCCACTTTACAGCACATAGGTTAGGTTTTAAGTTCCTGTTTGAGAGTAGACTATCAGCTAGAGTTATCATTTCTTCCCAGTTTAAGACAAAAATAGTTATGACTGAATGCTGGAAATGGTTTTGAGATGTTAATCTCATCTTATTCCATCTGAACCTCAAGTCTTTTGCAACTACCTGGAACAAGGAACAGCATGTTTCTTAAAACGTAATTGTGACCAGGAAAAGAGTTATTCTCTGGTTTTATTTTAAAAATCTATCAGATTAATGAACTGCTACATACAAAAGTATAACTAAGACAGAAGCCAATACTCCAGATGCTCATACACATCCTGAATTTTATGAATCCACATTAATTTCACAGATTCTGGCACTGTCATATCTCTGCTAAGTAGAGAAAAGGAGCTTTCTTCTTTCTCACTGGGAAAAAATTTTTCTCTACTGACAAGAACACATAAAAGCAAGGAACATCTCTTGAAATATAATCAGTTAAAAAATTAAAACAATATTTAAGGTTGGTATATGGCATCTTGCCTACACCACCCTCTCCTGAACACTCATCTAACTACTGTAGCAGAGACTAAGAAGAGGAACCCATTCTCTAAAAGCATTTATACTAATAGCAATATACTAAAAGCAAAAGTTATTAATTTCCATTCCTGTTACTTCTTCATGAGTTACCAGGGGAGCTGGCACTGCTGTGCTGGCTTTCAGAGAGGATAAACTGTCCAAGGCAGCCATAGGTGGCTTCAGGAGTATGGAGATAGTTTAAAGTGAAATGAACAGTTTCATACTCCAGTGCTTGGGAGGCAACACTGATTCTATTTGGAGAGTACCAAAGGGTCAGCATGGGTTTCAGAGTGGTATTTCTGCATTACACAGAGATGCACTCTGTAATATTCTCCTCTGATTTCAGGAGAAATCTCAAATACAGTTCTACTTAAACACTATAAAATATACGAAAGAGGACTTACTAAAAGGGCAGGTAAAGCTCAGGGTTTAGAGTCTGACATAAACTGAAACTGGGTGTCAATGCTTCCCCTGTAAATTGACTTAGATCTCTGTCTCTGTGTCCAGCTCCATTTCTGTCCTCCACCTTCCTATTTAGACTGAAAACTTCCAGCGCAAGGGCTAGACCTCATTGTATGTTTGTATACAGCCTACTGCAATCATTATACAAACAAAAATAACATGGGAAACTCTCAGATGAGAGATACTCCAGTTAAAGAGCAAACTAAAACATGTCTGGAATGAACCAGAAAAGCAGACAAACTTACAGATGGACAAGGCTTCTCTCCCCTTTTATACTTTTTTAAGAATATTGCAGGCATCTGAGCACAAATAAAAAGGGGGCTAATTCATCCAATGTTCTTTCAAGAGACGAGGAAGAACACTATACTCAAAAAGAAAACATGGATGAAAATTTAACATAGGAGTTCTGATTTTGTTTTTTTTCCTCTCTAGAACTAAACACATCAAAACAGCATCAGACAGGTTTCCTATAACGGAACAGGTGCTTGTTGCAAGTACCAGAAAGAAAACAAGATGCAGTGACTTTTGTCTTTGAAAACTGGCTCTTTTGATGCCTCTTAGAGCAACCCCTGCTAGTGCAGCAGGGAGGGATAATGACAGAGTTACCTACTTTATAATAGTCATACAATAGGCCAAGAGCAGCAGCACTGTCCTCATCACCATTTATGCTCATCATAGCCTTGGTAGCTGCTGTTAGGGGATTCTCCAAATACGACTTCCAGGCTTCATCTTCGCTGGTGTAGGCTCGTCTGGTGTTGAATGAAGTGTCATTTGGCACTAAGGCCACAAGTCGCTTGTTACTGCATAGACAGGAAGAATAAAATTGTGATCCAGAAGGGATTACTTTTATTCACAAGGCATGATAAAGAACATAAAATAGCTCAATTAAAGTTATATGATTACATTAAGCAAGAATCTCTGTATTACACTTGGTGACATAAATATTTATCAGTATTAGGCATCTTCAGTACTTAACAAAAAAAAAATAAATGTGTGCAGAACTTGTGATAATATTTCAAATGTATTTTTACTAATATACAGATAGAGCTAGCAAAATATTTTAAGATTTATTTGGTTTTTTTTTAAAAAAAAGTAACAATATAAGAACATTTTTCCCCAGTATTTTTCCTCTGTGTACACTTCATTAGGGAAAAAAACCCAACATTTAACTGACATAAGACATGAATGAAAATCAAGAAAAAGCATCTATCACTGATCGAGGGTTCACCTTAAACAGAGTAATAGTTCAGTATTTAATAACTGGGTACATCTTATAATCGAGCTACTCTCTGCTTTTAGAATGCAATTTGTCAGTAATTTCAGAGAGGTTTTCCATAATAGGACATGAGCAAATGGGTCCAGTGGATGGAACAGCAGTAGACATATTTGGTCTTAATTCACACTTTATCACTCACCACATCTAGTTATAGACCCATGATAATACATATAAGACCATTAGTGAGTAGGATTTGCAGCAGAGCAGTTTCCTCTAGCCTGAAAGTGGTACAAACCGACCAGTGCCTGTGTACACGTGAGAGAAGCTGCTGCAGCACAACCATGACTGAAGTTTCCAGTATAATGGAAACATAAATGAAGATAATAGCACCTGCTTTTGTGAACTGTTCAATAAATTGACAGAAGAGTTATGCAAAAAAAGAGGTTGCATTCCTATTATACAAGATTGTAGGATTAGGCAGAGAACTAATAGAGTGAAGGGTGTGCTGCTTAGTGGGTGTTGCAAGAGCGCCGTCAAGAACTGTGGCTCAAGTTACAAGGACCACAATGAAACTTTTAACACATTACACCTTACAAATTTGAAATCTGCAAAGATGGCAGAGTAACTAAATATACTTAACTGGTGAAAGTAGCAGTTATTCCTGGTGACCTCCATAAAACATTTCTTGCTATCTTCTATGTGAAAACCAGTTCGTTACTCAGTCTCCTCTTTCTGCTCTGCCCTACCTGCAGCAGTGCCAGCTCCACAGGTCTAACCCCACCAACTGCCGCTGTTGCACTGAGTGGCATTCAAACACTGTGCAAACGAGCCTTTTATTTGTTTTCAGAAATAGGATTTGATAAAAGCACAACTGAACCCACGCAGTAAATGCTCTCGGACGCCGGGAGCACGCCTTGCCTGGCCCCCGAGCCGCAGTGAGCAGGCTGGGGCCTCGCCAGGAACTCTGCTGTGGTCTGAGTCCAACCTGCAAAGTGCGTGCTCCAGTGTTTAAGGAAGAGGAGGGGGGATGGTGGAGATTATAATCTCTATGGTACAGAGCACTGTTTACAAGTTTCTTTATTTAATGAAAAACAAAATAATCCATCTGGTACACAGAGCACAATTTTATTAGCTCCGTGGGGGAAGAGAGCATTTTGTAGCTTTGTATCAGAAAATACAGTCAACAATTACAGTACAGATTATAATTTTCTTTCACCTAAAATAAATGGACTTTTAGAAGTTTCCTTTTTTTTTTTTTTTTTGAGGACCTTTCTGACTGACCTTTTCCTGTCTCTTCTGAAGATTTTTGTCCTTCATGTTTGCACATACACATATGTTGTTACAGGCTTGCTTCAGCAAGTGAAGCTGAGCATACATTAGGAGCCCATGGAAAGAGAGAGAGAACTTCTAGGTCTGCTTGCCTTTTCAATACCTTATTGTTAGTGACTCAAATCAGATTTGCAACAGCCCCGGTATTTGTGCCAGAGGTAGCTGAAGGCCTATTCCCACTCTGGAGTAGTCAATTCTCCCTGGCTCAGAAGCAATTATTCCAGGCAAGGATTCTCCTTTCCTCAACAAAGCTCCCCTTCAGCTAAATCCGGGCAGTTTCAAGGCAGTTTCACCACATGGGCGGCTGCCCATTGCAATGCTCAAAATACCAGTCGCCCTTCTTCCTGTAGCAATCTTCCCTTACAGTCAATAACTGCCTTTTGTTATTCAGAACACTCACAACCCTCGACAGTCAGAACCAATTTACGAGCACTAGAGGCAAGATGCCCTTCAAAAACTTCTCTTCTAAGAGCTGGGCTGTGATTGTCTGTAAAAATGCTGGAGAGGAGGAGTCAATCTCTGCTGCTCTAACTCAGTCAAAACAACCTTAAAGAAATGACCAGAGTGCAGTCTTAGAGGTGTGTATATGACTGTGTTGGAGAAAAGCTAAAGTAAAGGGGTAAACACTCTAGATACAGTCAGTAAGTAAACGGTTGGGATGGCTGGAAAAGCACAGGTGCATAGACCTAGAGCCTTCCCAACACCTCTGCAGAGCATGTTTTCTCTAAAACACAAGTTTCCACATTTCAGAACTAAACAGCCATCTCCTCTGGCTTGAGAGATGGTCTGCACTGTAGTCAACCGACACACTCATAGTGTTTACTCTGCAAACAGACTGAAACAATAGCACTAAGAAAAATAAAAAACTTCCTCATCACCCCATCCCGTAATCAGCTCTGTGGGAGGTTAATGGTCAGACCTAATTGTCATGATTTAACATAGTCAATCATTTCAAAGATTATATCCAAAGCAGTCAGCCAAAACAACCGGGCTCACGTTAAGAGAACTTCTCTATCAAATAAGGTTGTTCGGATGGGAGGGAGGGTTTCTCTTCAGAAATGAGATCTGTGTGTGCACATGCATTCCCTCTCCTTTTTCACATCTGCTAAACCTTCTGGACAATTTCAGCTAAACGTGACAGAGGGGGAGCAAAGTCCCCCATAACTAGAAGAGATAAATACACTGTATTTTAATATGTGCTAAGAAAACCCAACATCCTGAGTGAGGCTCAGCACAGGTAAGCTCTCTGGTCTTGTCAAGTATCCTTCCATGCCAGGACAACCCCAGCTGTTCCAGCTGTGTAACTGATGCCAGCAGGCAGCTGCTTGGAATGGCTCTGGTGGCACCTACACCATGTGAAAGACAAAGGGTGAACAGCTACGAGTAACCACACTCCCACTGGAGAGAGCTGCTTTGAACACTGCACCTGAAAGAAAAGCCTCGGCTGGAGCCTGCAAGTAGCAACACATCCATGGATCTTACCAAAAGCTGCAAATCCATCAGTGACCCCATCCACGGAGAATCACTCACTTGAGGAAGGAAGATGGGCCAAGACAGCGAGTGCAAGACTCCTGTTGAACCTAACCAGCAACACCAGCAAAAAGCCACTGTAGCCTCAGCTGTGGAACCTGCCAAGGAGCAGGGAACGAACCCAATCCCTACTGTGCCCATCCCTCACATGGGATAGCCCACCACACCTCCATCAGGGAGTCAGGATGAGTGCTAACCAGAACACAGCTGGGAAGGATGCACTTGTACAAGCTGAAAGCACATCATTTTTTTAATCCTGGAAATAAAGTTTAAGAATTGAAGATTCTTTGTGTCTAAAAAGTAAATGGTTCTTTGCAAGCTATCACTTGAGCCCCTAATGAATGCAAAATGATTCAACTGTTTTATGTCAAACAGTAATAGGTGTGTGAGGATGAAAGGTATTTTCTGGGGCATGGTCTAGATAGGAGCTAGACTGCTCTGACACTTGAGTATTTATGTCAAGACTGAATTTCAGACAGCCTTTTTTTCGCAATCTTTTTTTCTCCTAACTCTTTAGTAGAAATTTTCCTGTTCCTACCATCCTACATCCTATATGATGTGTTCTTTCATAAGAAAAGACATATATAAATTTTCCAGATTTACAGCAATTATGGTGATTTTTTTTTTTAGTTTATTTAAAATTAAGATTATGAAATTTTATAAAACCTATATAAGTGCAGTGTATAAATACAATGATGTTCAAAGCTTTGTTTCCTTTCACTTACTGCAGTACAACAACATAACTTGGAGAGGTAAATTGTACTTAATGTCAATAAATCAGCTAGAAGGGCTGGCCTTGCAAGCTCTTCCTTGGATTAAAGATAATGAACATTCAACAGCCAGCACTTGGGGCTATAAAATCCTACTACAGGCAAATTCTCACCCAACTTGATGCAATTTGTGAATTAGCTTACAATGAATCAGAATTGCCCATTAACACACTCATGAAAGGCTTTGTGATCAGCTTCCTTTTTATTCAGAAACAAGATGTCCCACCTACCAGTCTCTCTCAAATTTTTGATGCTCAAGAGCTTTCTGCTGCATTTGCGAAGTTCAAGCAGCCCTCAACCTCTCTGCAAAATGTGCCACTGGACATAAAGCAGACTGACGCAGCCATGCTGCATCAAGTACAATGCATCTTGCTCCACCATATGCTCAGCATTATATCCTGATCCAGTTGGTGCTAGTAGGGAAGAAAGCCTCTTCCTACCTGCCCCATTTCTTTTGCCTTGCCCAGGAGATTCAACCCTGACATCCAAAGCAGACTGTTTAAACTGCCAAGGTGGGCACCCAGCCCAGGCACTTCCACTTTTTAATTGTGCTCTTTTATTTTTTTTTTGACGTTATTTTTTTAAAACTTGTTGAAAGAACAAATGCAAAGTTACAATCAAGCTGCTCCATTAATAAACCAGTAGACTTCTTTGCTCCCTGACAATGCACGAGCACTTTCCCTTCCCTGCTGGGGCTAGGTGCCAGATGGAAACACACAAGCAATGTGTGCAAGATAGCAGAATGTGAGGAGTCCCAATTCCCAGCTTTCAGTCCAGGCCTGAGCCTGCCCATTCTTACACAGGTGAGATAAGAGCACCAAGCACATCCTCTGCAAACTGTCCCTTCGAGAGAAGGGACAGCGGGCTTTGGTCAATACAGCTGTTACAAAGCACACAAATTCTGGCATTAGTCAAATAACTGGAAAAGCCAACACATGTCACCCTGGTTCCCTGC